AGACAGTCATTCCATTTCATATTTATCTCATCCTTTCCAAATTATCAACATTATTTTAGTGCCTTTTAATAATGTCTTTGTAATCCTTTCATTTTCTATGCATTCATCAGTTTATCCATCCATTCGTTCACTCTTTCTCTGTATCTGCAGGTGCTGTAAAAGAAGTGCATTTTATAGACAACTCACTCTTTCTCATGCCTCAGTCATTGTTATTTACTATTCAACCCAATGGACTCACTTGAGTGAGCAGTTATTTGTGCAGTAAGTGGTGCAGGTATGTGGACTGCAGTAATGCCAGTGCTGGCATCTGATTTTATGAATCTTGTAAAGCTCCTAAGCATCTGAGCAGCTAAGACATAATATAGCATCTAGGTACTGAGTGAAGTCTGAAATAAGGGAGAGAGCTGCAAATGACAGGTCTTGATTATCTTAAGAAAAATAAGTTCACCATTACATTTATGCTGAGATAATATAGATGTGAAAGAATGGAGTACTTTGAGATGAACAGGCAGATGAATACCTAAACTTCCCCACTGGAAAATATCCATAGCCGAAAGAAAGGTCAATTTACATTAGCCTTTCTGATTTTTCCATTCCATTTCCATTCCCCTAGATTGTATCCACATTACTCACACATAGTTTGGATTTCCGAACTTGACATGGAGGAAAAGATATTTCCATGGGAAACCCTCTGCGTTGAAAACTAATCACTTCCATCCTCCCACTGATTTTCCTTGCAGATATCCACCTGCAAGTGGTATAGAAAATCTAACACAAGAAATTACATACTGCTTTATCAGATGGCACTTACTGTTTATTAGTTTGCTACAAATTAATGTAAATATAAATATCTAAATAACAACAATATTTATTACAGTCCATAGATCCATCAGTAAAACTAATCTAAATATGTGTGTTGTCATTGCTGGACAGAAAACACACACACTACAGTATCTAAACTAAAGTATTAGTGACAGATTTGTTAACTGCAAAATATCATAAATCTATAACTAGTATTACCAGCAGAGTCGATCCTCAATGTACTCAATATACAGATAAATCATGTGGCTAATTTCCAGACTGTGTATAGATTTAGGGAAACATGAACATATTTTAGATGGAAACACATGTTTTAATAGTGTCTTAAATAATAGAATAAGTGAACAAACAATTTATTAACTATCATTGTTCACTGAGATAATATAAAGTTTGGGTGCCAGAAAGGGCACTATAGTCAGATGCTGTGGTGTACTTGGAATGAAGCTGTAGTATGTGATAGGCCTACATACCTTCTTGAGTCCAGACTGCTGTGTTGTCAATTTGCTACTCAGTTGAATAAATAAAAGACAACAGCTTTTCTGGATGCAGAGAATTAGGAAAATTGCATATCCATTTTTACTGCACAGCATATCATATCTTGACTTACACTTGTAGATTTGTTTCTGCATTAAGTGATTTCCACATTTCTCTCTGTTTATTATTCATTATTTTTAATATAACAGAAGATTCTTTCTAATAATTTGGAATGTAAGATAATAGGTTGAGAACTTACTGGCATAGCTGTATCTATCTACCATATATCTGTAATCCGTATATTTATTATACAGTTATTTGTATATATTTTGAGGTAAAGATATGATAAAGTGAATCATTCATACATTAAAACTGAGGATAATGGAAATGCTGCCGTGTTCTTGTTTGAGAGACAGTTGACATAACCTTGACGCCAACATTAAAACAAGAGGCTTTGCTGAAGGAGACAGTCAGAAGGATCAGTAGCAGTGATTAGCTAAATTCATCCCAAGTTAATCCTGTTGAAGTACTTTAAAACAGACAAGCAGGCAGTTGAAATATTTATTACTGTGGCACTTAACCTAATTTATACTTTGGTGACCAGTTTAAAATTAAATGGTTACTCGGTTATTGACAAAATGGAGACAAATATATTAAAATCTATGAATGCTAAATGGCATATATGTTTATTATGCTCAATAACTCTTCTTATCACATCTAGTACACATCTCTCTTTCCTTCCTCAAGCATAAACAAACATTCATACAAACATATACAAACATATGGATATGTTAAAGAGAAATATATTGGGTATGAGCCAGACTTAGAGATGCCAAAAGGATACCAATAGAAATATTTTATTTACTAAAATATTTATTCCTCACCCTATATAAAAGATCTCAGGACCACTTGCATAAAAATAAGTGATCACATGCATAAAAATAAATGATGCGATTTAAATAATTAATAATCCAATTAAGCAATAAAATAATTGAATAAACTAAAATATTAAACTTCTGTAATTGATTCAAATAGATTAAAAAGATTTAAAAAATAAAACTATGTACATTGTAGCTGGGATACATTAATGAGCCCCAAAGGCTTTGATAAATAGCCCAAATGTACTCTAAGTGTTGGTGCCAGTTGGGCCTCTAGGTGGAGTGCCACAACTGAGAAGACCCCGTGTATTGACTTCACCAGTGGGACACAGAGAAGCCTTCTCCAGCAGGTCTTAATCTTCAGGCAGGAACATATAGGGAGAATCATTCCCTCAAGTATCAAATTCCTGAGTCATTTAGGGCTTTAAATGTCATCTTAAGCACCTTGAATTTAGACCAGAAATACACTGGCAGCCAGTGCAAATCTTTAAGACTGGCATTATATGCTATCTATATGGTACCCTAGTCAGTTGCATTTTTCACTAGCAACAAATTACAAGTCTTCTTTAAGGACAGCCCTATGTAGAGTGGATTACAGAAGTCTTACTGGTATAGTATCAGTTAATGGGCTACTGTGAGTATTTTATCTCTGGCCGTAGCTGACCATAGCTGCTTTACCAGTTGAAGGTGGTGGCAAATAGTCTTTCCCCAAAGTCTATTTGGGTCTGTAGTGACAAGGATGGATATAAGAATACTCCCAATCTATACATCCGACCCTTTAGGGTAAATATTCTCAATCTAAGGCAGCCTGTGTTTACACATTTCCTGCCCCAAGAACCACTGATCTGCAAAATCTGCATTTTATTGGAATTGAGTTTCAATTCATTAGCCCTCACTCAGCCCATTACCACATTCAGGCACTGCTTCAGCACTGTAAAACCTCAGTAGCCTAAAACAAGAAGTAGACCTGGAAATCTCTCCTCACTTCTGCCTCACCCTCAGAATGCAATATACATATATAGTGTCTGTACTTTGCAGATTTTCACTTTTTGCGGGTGGTCCTGGAATGTAACACCCACGATAAGTGAGGGAACACCATACAGTTTTTTTTCTGCTGACTATGATGAAATTAATTTTAACATTTTAACATTATGGAATCAAAATCCAGTCAGTTAATTGAATAAAAGCATTAATAAATAATTTCATTCACTTGATTCATGTATATAAGAAGAATTTGGTCATTGAAAACAATGCTCAACTCACAGAATGGGTGCTTTTATTATTTGTGTCAAAGGTAAGCAATAGGCATCCCTTCCCAATTGGTCTGAAATTTAACAATTTCAATTCAGACATATTTCATTTAAGTAATGATATAAGCAGGTGGAATATACCGCTTTGCTAAGGGCTAACACTCAAATGCAGTGGAATCGAAATTTTAATTTTGGTCCAAAGTAACGCTAATGTATTTATTTAATTTAGTGTGGACTATGAAATACTGTTTCCTGAAACTATCTGGAAGACTTCTTACAATCATTGTAATTTATTCTAAATGGCTAGCTTGCCAATTCATACTGTGGGGATCTCAGATAATAAGTTACTCTGTAATGTTGCTGTGGTTAGAAGAGTGTAAAGTAGCATGGCTGATACCTGTTTCATTAATGTTACTAGCAGAAATACGAGTTTCTCAACATTCAGAACCCCTTTAGTTATCTCCCATACTCTGGTTTTCTGTCACTTTTCTTCTGCTGTTACTTCTGTTTTTCACCATCACTTATTTTCTTTTCCTTTTTGTGTGTCATCTTTTTATCTTGCCTCTTGGTGCATACTCTTTTCCTAGCTCACTCCACCTCACCCACAAACAAACTGACAACCCCCCCCCCCCCCCCCCGCTCTTGCTGCTTGATAGTTCAGCTGCATTGGAAAGCACTTTGTTGAACTACCTTGAGGCACTGTTGGGAAATGGATTTCCCAGCTTTGTCTCCAGCTTTTGTCTCTGGGGAATAGCTAGCAACTAGTGGCTTACAAGGAAACCGCAGGCTTCAAACAGAATCTAATTAACTAAAATTAATCTGTTTTTTAAAAATCAAATAGCCCTGAGATGCAGGCCACTCCCCTGGGTCCCTATAGTGTACTTGCCAAGTTTCATGTGTCTAGGTTTTACTGCTTGGTACTGTGGCAGACATACAATCCCTTCTACTGTTACAGATTACTTAACTAACTTGAAATTTATGAGTCAGCATCACATAGTGAAATGAATGGAAGAAATTGCATTTGGTAGCAAAAAAAAAGCAGCTCATGTTTACTGAGTTTTTTTCAGCAAGACTGCACTGCTGATCTCATTGAAAAGGCAAAAAACTTATAATGGACAATAGTACCTGTTTGGTATTTTTTGTTATCTGAATATTAAAGAAAAGGCATTATGAGTCTCTTCCTCCGACTTTCTCCATAAGTGAAAGAAAAAAATGAGAATAGAGATCTCAGAGTAATAGATCTCTCCAAACTTCTATTATTTCAAGTGTTTCAGAACAATATAAGATACCACTGGGTAACATGATAGGCAAAATTATGGGCTGCAATGGGCTCTCTTTGCAATACTACTTTTTTTGTCTAGTACTATCTAGCAAAACTAAACTTAACTAAAAGTGCAGAGAAACAGATGATGTGTTACCTTTTCTAAAACTTCCCTGACTTCCCTAAAGGTAATTTTTCATCTGTCATTATAAAGATTACAAATTTTATCCTCTTGCACATTTAATTAAATCATGGCTATATTTGTTACAATTTTTTTTTAAAAAAACCCACACATTTCCTAATCTTCCTCATATACAGGTTGCCTGGAACTAAAGGAAGATACCATAGAAAACCTCCTGTCAGCAGCATGCCTTCTCCAGCTCCCTCAAGTAGTTGAAGTCTGTTGCCATTTCCTCATGAAGCTTTTACATCCATCTAATTGTTTGGGAATCCGGGCATTTGCAGATGCTCAAGGATGCACAGAGCTTATGCAGGTGGCTCACAACTATACCATGGTAAGGCAGTTCCATTATATTTTACTGCATATAGAAATGCACATAATACATCAATGAACTTTGCCAGCATTCCAATATTTTTCTTATGGTTTTATTTTTCTACCTATTATTGCACAATGAAATCAGTTTTTGGGTGATTTTTAGTTGTACAAGATAAATATAATGAGAAGATTAGGGCTACTAAAAATAATACTGAATCTGCTAAGCCATTATACAGATAGCGCCACACAAGACATAATTATTTAAGGCTGCTGGTTTTTGTTTGTTTGTTTACCCTAGAATTACTTTTTACATCATTTGTGTTAAGTTTTAAGTAATGTATTGGATCAGTAAAACAATATGTTTCAAACTGGAACTTTCTAGCTAGGCTATATTAACAGGCTCATACCCCCCCCCCCCCCCCCCCCCCCGACTGTGTGTGCAGGGAGGTAATTGCATGGTCAGGTAAGGCTTCCACTCCACATATATAAACAATAATTAAACTGAACAATGACCAACTTTAGAGAAAAAAGGCCACAACTTTATAGCCATAGATAAGGGTTTGCCTGCACATGGGTCTGGATTCAGGCACCAAACAACCCGCCTGTTGATTGATGATCCCAGCAACCCAGCTTGGTGGCCCATCCACTAGGGATGGCTTGAGAGGTGTCTTCTGGGTTTTCCCAGCCTAGGTTTCTCAGTCACCAGGGGTGTGGAAAGCATCTGCTCAGCCATTCAGGTGAAACCTTTATATCATACCCCTTGATCCTCTATTGGGAGCCCTTACCAAATCAAAGCCAGATATAGTGGTCACCCAATCCTGGATCCATGACCTATTCCAAATGCCACACAAAGTGGTGACAATTATAAAGAAACAAACTCCTCAAACTTAAGAAGATTGGATGAACTGAAGCTCAGAGTGAACTGAAAGTTGCATTATATGAAAATACCCTACTGGAGTGGAACCCTTATCTGAGTTATTCCAGGTGAGAAAAAATCCATGCCAGCCAATGACCAAGGAACCTGCCTCTTCAAACTCATTGACTGGCTGAATGCCCAGGCATCCAATTGGATTCATCTTTTTACATGGGGGGGTAACTGTCAACACTGCCCAGTGATTCAGTTGTCTTGCTGACCTGCAACCTAGATACTCTGGGTGTGTTGAGTATGATGATTATATCTAATAATAATAGTATCTGGTTTATATCTGGTGATACTCCAATTATAAAAGTTGGATTGGCACCAATACCTCTCATTTTCCATTTCCACTTCTTAAGAACTTTGAATTGGCACATAGATCTATGTGTTATAGTGAGATAGCAGATGTTTGCTGTTGATCTAGAATTTAATACCAACTAGTTGCTGTGAAGTTTCATTGGTTTTATAATGATTTATATCGTATTATACTCCACCTTGAAATTTTGAAGTGGAAGGGCAGGATATACATGTAATAAACAAATAAAGAGACTTTAAATCCACACCTTTTCAATCATCTTACTAAAATATTGTTGCATAAGTTAGATGGCACCTAGTTTGTATCTTGGGAACCCACTTACCTTTACTTGATATGTCTTTCTATTCATTTTTGAATGTATGCCAGCAAAGAAGAATTTCTTTAGTTCCTAACTATAAGGTAGTTATAGTCTCAATGGAAAATGAACAACATCCATATAATGTAGTTTAGAAAGTGATCCCTGCAGTCTTATAGTACAGAACAAAAGTATACACAGCATAATAGCCAGGCAGAAATAGTTTTGCCCACCCATCAATGGAATAATGAGGCTAGACAACTGTGTTGGGATAAATATGGGCCATGGAACAAGAGTACAAATACAAAATAGGAGTCTATTTATACAAATGAAAGGGGATTAAATATGCAGATAAGCATCTCTATTGATAAGGTAGAGTTAACAATCCAGTAAAAAAATGTACAAAATCTCGTACCTGCACAGTGTTGGCACTAAATAATTTATTTTTTTAGAACATTTTTTGAAAGATATACTGTAAAAGGCAACCTATGCTGTAAAAAGTGAACCAATATCTGTGAAAATCCAGGCAAAAATGCATTCATATTCATGTTTTGTTGTCTGATGGCTCTGAGAAAAACTTGAAATATATGAGAGGAGATACCTTTTCTTAAAACGTCTTCATCATTTTGTTCAACAAATACAAGCATGTATGTATGTGTGTGTGTTTGCATACTTGAAAAGTTGTACTTTGTTGATAGCAATATCTTTTTTTTTTCTGACTGCTGACTCTCCAGTTTGACTTCTTAGTGAAAAGTAATTTCTCACATGATTGTGCCTCCACTGTTATTAGTCTTTCCTAGAAGAAAAGAATTACATATGTCTTTCATGGACACTTCTAACATTATCTCTGAAACAATTAAGAGCAAGTAACACATCTTTTCTCCTCCTCTGTAATTTTGTCAATTTATTCTGATTCAAAGGTTTCAAGCACCTTGGTTATTATACTAGTAATTCCCAAATTGTCTTCTTGTATGCTGTTGTAAGGGACCACAGGTTGCCTTGAAAATCAGGCCATCTTTTTGGATGCATTCACGGTTTTAGCTTCATTTAACAACTTAATTGCATAATGGTATCTTCAAGCTCTTAAGAGGCTCTTATCCCAACATTATATAACTTCTGCATCCCTTCACCTACTATTCATGTGTTGAGTGTGGTTAGATACTGCAGGGAACCCTATGTGATCATTTCCCCATTTGCATGAATTTTCATCTTCTTGGGGGTGGGAGTGGGATTTCCTATATTTACAGGTATCCTTAGTAAGGATATCCATGGATGGTCCTGAAAACTGCATATCATTTGGGATAGGGTCAGCTCCTTCAATATATGGAGTTCTGTTAAAGCAGTGGTTCTCAACCTGTGGGTCCCCAGGTGTTTTGGCCTACAACTCCCAGAAATCCTAGCCAGTTTGCCAGCTGTTAGGATTTCTGGGAGTTGAAAGCCAAAACATCTGGGGACCCACAGGTTGAGAATCGCTGTGCTATAGTGTATGAAGGGGTGGTTGTGACTCTTAGAATCAGAAGGCACTGAATAGGACTTGGGACCTTTTCCCACTCAAAGTGGAAAACTATTTTCCCATGGACAACCTGTGGCTTTTAGGGACTGACTACATACTAGGTGCACATGAACCACATCCCACTCCTTCCTGTAGCAATACAATAATGCACTTTGACATCACATGACTGATGGATGACTCCTTCCAATCCATTGGATTTGTACCGATGTCACTCTTCCCTTTTTTCTTTAATTTTTTTGTGGGGGGCGGGGTCTTCACAGGTTCCGAGCCACATTCAAATATAACACCGTCCTCTCATTAAAAGAGAGGCTGTAGGTATTAACACTAATATTGCATAGTTCTTCTCATCTAACTTCTTCCTACAACACAATCTCCTCTCATTCAGCCCCCTCCCACTATCTCCTGTCATCCAGCTTTCTCCCACCATACAATCTCTTCTCATCCAGCTTCCCCTACTACATGATCTCCTGTTCTCCAGCTCCCCACCATTTCCTGCCATCAAACCACCCAACATATCCTTTAATCGAGCTTCACCATCACATGATCACCTCTCATTCAACCTCTGCCATCTCCTCTCATCCAGCGTCCCCCACCATACAAACTCTTCTCATTCACCCCTTCACCATCTTCTCTCATCCAGCTTTCCCCCACCACACAATTTCCTTTCATCCAACCCCCCATCTCTTCTCATCCAGCTTCTACTAGCATGAAATCTCCTCTCATCCAGCCTCTATCATCTCCTCTCATCCAGCTACGCCCTCCACATCATCCCCTCTCATCCAACCCCCACAATCTCCTCTCACCCTGCCCAGCATGCTCATTCATTCAGCTTCCTTTTGCTGTGTGATGATACTCTTTGTATATGTGTTGTAGATGAAAGGGGCAGTGCATCATGTAATCACATCTGTAATGACTTATATGAAAAGAGTGTCAGAGATGGGTTATGTCCCATCTTATATTAATTCTCCACCCTGCTAATACACAAGAAATTATAACTTCCATGGAAAAGGAGGAAGGCCTGTTATATGGTCAGTGAAGAGGCATGTAATGCAGTTTTCTTGCATTTAATTGCATTATATGAGTCTACACAGACCATATAATGCAGTTTATAATGCAGGGGGCAGATACCCTATCTACACTGACCACTTAATGCAAATCAAATGGCATTATATGGTCATTGTAGACTCATATAATTCAGTTTAACTGCCTTGAGTTGCAATATATAAATCTACACTAAGCATATAATGTAGTTTGATCTGAATTAAATGGTCAGCATCAATGGTACCTTAGTGTGTCTTGGCATTCCTGAAATATAATTGACTAGTGCAGGAAAACCCTGGAACATCAACTATGGACCTATTCCTAGACAAAAGAGCAGCCAAAGATGAAACACATGAAGAGAGCAGTTCTATATTATTTAGCTCCAGAGCAGGCTCCGTTATCATGATCTTATAAAAAAAAATAGCCATGAAGAAAGCTTTTATAGACCCACCCTCTTCTCTTGCTTCTCTGCCCTAACATTTTGTGACCCTTTTGAAGTGCACTTCCCTCCAATTTTCTCTGAACTGGAGGAGATATCACTCCCCTGCCGCCCTCCAAAAATATATAGCAGAAGAATGACATTTCTCTTTGCTTCCTTACTGTATGATTATTATGCCATGCAGTAATTTTTTTCCCACCCTTTGCCTCATATACAGAAAGTCTCTAACTACTGAAAAAGGACATGAAGGAAGATTCTGCAGCAAATAAAATGCAGTTGGGATACATTTACCTGATCATGTTAAAACAAAATGCATTTCGTAATTAGAAATGTAGTACATCTTTCCATTATTTTGAAGTGGCACAGAGGGGAAAATGCCACCAGAATGTTGAATTCAGCATAGTATCTGAAGTAGAATGGCCAGTGACTAATCTGAAGTGTGACAACAGACTAAAAAGAAGCAGCATGCTGAGATTGAAAGGAAACATGTGGCTCTTTT